TGACTTTTTAACCCTTTCATTAAACATTTATGAATGTTCTGCCTCCAAAGCCTCAGAGGTAAATTAAAAGAAACAACACTAATTACCTTAAAAAAGAACACCAGGTTTCATAGAGCTTTTACACTTGATATGTGATTTTTGAGGGTGTAGAGATGGCAACATTATCTCAGTAGTTCATTCTCTTCTTCCCTGCTTTACAGTCACATTCTTTATTTTCTCTTATTCCTATTCTCCTCAGTATTGTGAATGACTGACAAAACATAAAGGTGTGTGGCAGCTGGCTTTAAATAAAATCCATCATTTTACCATCTTTTAGTAATGTACTCTGGGGGGCAGGATTGTATCTTCCAGGCCAAAGACTTTATAATGAATACTCCCAGAGCTGGTAGGTATTGATTTATTGTCAGCAGAACTCTCCCTAAACATGATATGAAGTAACATAGCATGTTGTTCCAATATATTTAGGAGTATATATTTTTCTTCAATGACATATATGCAGTGCTGCACTGTAACTTTAAGCAGGAACTAGAAATTGAAAGAATGTCCTTATGGCAAAAAACAGTTTATTATTCTGATTTAGAAAAGGCACTAAACTCCCTTTATAACATTTTATTAAAAGCCCTAGAAGTAACTAGCTCCTTTAAAAAAAAATGAAACTCAACATTATAAGATTTTAAGAGCCTCCCTCTTCCTCTAAGATAGAGATGTCAAGTTAACCTCAAGCTCTAGGCTACATGACATATAAGGCTCCTTGTGGGTCAGCTCAGGGAACAATGAAGAGGTGGCAGTGGCAGTAGCTCAAGCTCCATCTCAGAGCATGTGGCAGCAGCAGTATCTCCAGCCTGACCTCAAGCATGTGGTGGAGACTCCAGCTCATACTGTGTGCCCTGTGCTAGAGCAGCCATGGTAGCTGCTCCAGTTTTGACTCCAGCACAGGGTACATGGCAGGGCTGGCAGCCAAGGAAAGTGAACATGGGCCAAATGGCTGGAGGGTGACTGGAGCTGTGTCTGACCTCACTCACCATGACCACCAGGGCCCAAATGTCCTAGATTCTGCAGCAGACCACTCCACCCAGTCATGATAGTAGTTAGGCAAGCCAGAGAAAGCTATTCCATACACCAGATCTGGCCCATGGACAGTATGTTTTGGCTCCCTTGCTCTGAGACACACTATATAATACAATTAAATACCATATTAGGAAATTACTCAGCGCTTTTCCACCATTTCTAACCAACATCCTCTACACAACAATTTTATTCTATGACCCTCTCAAGCTCATAGTCCTCCATATTTGCAAAGAATTGTGAAGTTAGGGTCACTGAAAACTGGCTGTTGATGTTGACTAGTTTTTAGGCAGCTAAAGAATCCTGAGTAAGGTTGCAATGATTTTGTTAGTTGATAGAGAAGATGCTTGTTCTGTTCTCAGTGGTAGCAGATGACAAAACAAGGAGCAATGGTCTCAAGTTGCAGCAAGAGAAGTTTAGGTTGGATATTAGGAAAAAAACTCTCTCACTAGGAGGGTAGTAAATCACTGGAACAGATTACCCAAAGAGATTGTGGACTCTCCATCCTTGGAGGTTTTCAAGACTCAGCTAGACAAAGCTTTGGTTGGGATGCTCTAGTTGGGGATGGTCCTGCTTTGAGCAGGGGGTTGGGATAGATGACCTCCTGAGGTCCCTTCCAACCCTAATTTTCTATGATTCTATGCTAGGGAAGCTGCTGAATGAAGGTATGGATACTACTCCCCTTAAGCATACTACTCCTTACTTAATTATTGCCAAGTCCCAATAAAGGATCACCAGAAGAGAAACTGCACTAAAGCTACCTCAAGAATGATAGAAAGTAGATTAGAATGTGCTACTGCCGCATAAAAAGAAGCTATTGTTTCATCCTCCTGCCCCAGTTTGTTCTTGGTCTAGGGACTACAAGATTTTGCCATTGTTGGAACTCAGGAGAAGTGAGTTTGTACAAGGCCTCTCATCATACTTCCAGATCTCTGTCAGGCATGAAAGATGGCAAATCTATTCTAATATGGACATTCTCAGCACTAGATATGAAGAATATTCTGTATACCAAAATTTCTCACACTTAAGGATTTATTCATGCAACAGATTCTACTCACACATTGTAAATCTGGAGTAATTTAAGTGACATGAGAAGAGCCATTCCAGATTTACATTCATGTCCACATTTCTGCATTCCTCTAAAATTTCAAGAAAAAACATTCTTAGTACTTTACCAAAACCAGTCTGAATCAGCTCAGCACCCAATGACAGCACTTTGTGAACATTTCTGAAGACTATTTCATCCCAAACAAGAATCCCATCCTGATTCTTGTAGGTAGACTGGCCATTGCAATCCACCTATAAATTAGCAAAGACAATTGACAAATTAGTTCAAGTTGTTAGGTTTTGTACCAATTTGGCTTTTATGTTCCTAATATTTTTCACTTAGGATTTGGGAAACAAGTCTAGCAATCTCCTTTGTTAGAAATAGGATGTAAAGTAACTTTCAGCACCAATGTACATAAGAGTCTTGCCCTTCATGTTTGGATTGGTATCCTGAACAATCTGAGAATTAGAGTTGCTAGGAGATTAATTTCTCAGTTATGGAAGTGCCAAGTAGTTGTGCCTCAGGCCTAAGTTAACATGGTAGGCAGATTTCTTTTTTCTTCCTCCAAAACTGCATCTCTGCTAAATGTTTCTGGACGATGAACTATGAAAGTGGGTATAAACTCTATTTGTAAACCTCTGTGGGAGTGTTTGTGGGAAGAGGTTATTGAAACTATAAAGTCAGGTGCTATTAACGTTCTTAGATTTTAACCAAAAGGTTTTCAGCAACTTTCTTCCCTTTCCCTTTGATTGTACAATACCTTACATATCTAAGCAACTGCTGACATGCAGGGAGATTAGTAAACATTTTTGTCTGCTGCATGTTGCTTTAAGTAAAAATAAGACCAAAATAAACCTTGGATCCTAACATTCCTTAAATTTAGAGACCTATAGTTTCATATTAACAGGCATTTTTGAGAGCAGAGAAAGCAATATGCAGAGCAACTATGAAGAGAGAAATGCAAATATTTAACTTCACTGGTATTTCTCTGATATGTTTCACTGTACAGTGTTATCACTAACAAGCAATAAAAGTAGAGAAAGCGTTTGCAAATAGTTTTAGGGCTGGCATGTACAATTAGATGAAGGGACCCATATATAAGATGGGCTTTCACTGAAGGATTAACATAGTGGTGATATATAAATAGGTTTAGAACACAGCTTTATTTTTGTTACGTAGAAGATAAAACTGGTCTCTCCAAGGAATCCATACATTTTATTAATTGTTTCTGCTGTCTATTTTCCAGCTTATATTTCTGGAGTGAGCACATTGCTTCAAGAAACAAATGAACTGGTCAATCTGCTCAATACCTGCTTAAGTATGAATCAAATTCATGTTTTTGTTGTGGCATCTCAGGCCAGATACAGATGTTACACTTATCACATGACAAGCACTCAATCTACACCCATAACCGAACAGATGTTCACCTCACATAAACTGCTTAAAAATGGCAGACTCCAATCTAAGGAGACCTGGATGGATGCAGTATGACACTAAAGTGCTTTAGGATGGAGCTCTCTATCAAACGTCTGTACCAGATCCCCTCACAAGTTAGGCTGCAGTCCTTCAGCATCCCAGGGCCCCCTCCCTGGCTGGCATGCTAGCCTGGGCCTGTGCTAATCAGCTCCAGATAAACACCAGCCGAGCTCCCTCCCAGGCTGTTACAGACGGTAAAGAGAAAAGGCTCCGTCTCCTCCTGCGTGACTGGGCAGAGGGTGGGAAGAAAACTTCCTGATACCTGGGCCCCTCAGCTGGCTGGCTCAGGTCGTGGGGGGGGCTCTATTCCCCCCTGCCCCAGACTCCTGACACCTGAAGCTTGGAACTACTTAACATTTTGCTGCACCAGGAACTGGGGGCTGGGGAACAGAGCCCCCCCTGCTGTTTCCCCCTTCTCTCCAGCTTTTTGCGCTACTAGGAACTGGGGGCAGGTAGGGACAGGCAAAGAACTGCCCCAGCCCTGGAGCTGGAGAAGCTCTAAGCCCCATGTCCTTGGGGCTCGCTCAAGGGCAGCCCCCTGGTGGTTCCTGGCATCTACATGTGTGCTACTGTGCAGTAACTACTGCGTGATTAATTTGCTACCTGCACTTGCATGTAGCAAAGTAACTGCAGAGCAGACTAACAGACTGCGCAGTAAGTGTCTGCACATGTATATGGTGATGATTTACTGTGCAGTCAATTAAGTCTACTGAGCAGTAAAGCATCTCATGTATACCCACTCAATATGTAGCAATTCCCCTCCAAAATGTTATGTAGCCACTGTTAGAGTGGTACCAGATGAAAAGTTTGGTGCAATTTGGAAATAGTTCTTAAATTACTTTGGTAACTAAATTATTACTCTTTGAACACTTTTCTTTTCTTGCAATAAACTATTTCATTACACTCTTTGCTTCATCTGTCTTTCCCTCTTCCTTTCTTTAAAACTTTTTATTGCTTACTGTTTGTGACAACTGTGTACATAATTCAGATTGCTATGTATAGCTGATGTTTCTGCATTGCATTTTTTTTTAAATCAATAAAAAATAATAAAAGAGTGTAATTATATGTGTGCCAATAAGCATGCACAAAGACTGACAGCCTGAGACAAGGGCTGGGAGTGACCTGGATCAGTTCCAAAGTGCAGAAGTAAATGACCATGGCATTTTTTTTCACAGTGGGATTCCCTAGCATAGTCTATATTTTAGGACTCTTTACTGAGACATCCATAATTTGAATAAACTATTGAAGCTCAGCTGAAATCAGTGAAGCTTAGTGCAGTGTGGGGCCAGGAGCAATAAACTCTGGTGTGATATGCACCGGAGTTTATTGCATTGTATTAATGTCATGTGTAGATGTGCCCCTAATGTCTTTTATCATAACAAAAAGCCACTACAGATACCTTTGCATAGTCTGTCTTCAGAGTTTGAAGCCACAACACTGCAACAGAGACCTCTTCCACTTGACACTGCATCAGCCCATTATGACATGGAAGGATCACAATGTCTGCCAAAATTGTATTTAAAAAAACAAATAAAAAAAATTAACTGATATATTATTTTTCAGGACATTTCAAAACAGTAAATTTTATTTTGATGTTGACTGTATACTGCAGCATTTTCATATCATAATGTCCCTCCAAAGTAGAAATGTTGCAATGCCAAATTTTTTAAATTACATGAGCATCAAGTTTGATTTCTTCACTGATGTAAAACCATCTCCTTCATTAATGGGTCATGTGATGTTTTGTTCTAGTTTTGTTCTTATGATATCTATAACCCTGATAGGCTTCCCGACATGTATGCTGGACAATTTCCAGTCTTGCCTCAGGCCTTACAATTTTCTCAGGGCATCTGTGCTCTCCTGCTGACTCTTGCAATTGGAGATACTGTTTGTCAGAGTAATTTTAGGCCCTATATTCTCAAATCATGCAACATATAATACTTCAATAAATCACTTGTTCGCAATCTACAGAGTTATAAATCATGCCAAACCAGGAAAGGCAGACATGGATGAAATTGTAATGGAAGATCATATTTGATAGTAGGCAAGGATCTCTTAGGGTGATATCTTTCATTGGCTCAGTTATGTAGTTGGGACAATATTAGGCAAGGTTGTTGTTTTGGTTTTTTTATTTGATAAGCTGAGCTTATTTTTATTTCCTGGTTATAAACTATTCACAAGCCTTCATTTTTACAAACATATACATTTAGTCTTTTTAACATTTAGACAAACATAATTTGGTTCTTCCAAAAAATATCAGCAAGACCAAGACTTGTCTAAGGGTGCTATGTAAGGAACTGAATACATCAAGGCATTTACAGTTACCCAGTCAGCATCAATTAGTTTTCCCAGCCCAGGAGCTAACATCTGTATTCTTGAGTACCAGTTTGTAGCACACATCCATAAGCTAACTAATTGATTTTTACTTGCATTTCAATTCCTCAGTGTTCCCAGCAGGGGAGAGTCAAATGGCAGAATCCCCACTGCGTCCCAGTGCTCATTCTCGAGATTGATAAGGTGTTCTGATGAAGTGCTGCTTGGAACAGTTCTTTTATGGAGCAGCATGTATATATTTGAACTATTTTTTAATGTTCCTTTTGTTAGATTTTTACTTCTACTCCTGAGATGCACTGAAGTGAGAGGTGAAATATACTTGGAAGTTAGGGAGCTTCTACGAGAATAAAAAGACGATACTGTACCAGAGGGGATAAAGAACTAAGCAGCTAAATTTCATTTGTGTCATTAAAGAAGAACTCACCTAAGCTGCTCAAAATGTGAAAACAGAAGGAGTTCCTTGGGTCTCCTTCTTCCTTTGACTTTGCTGATGCAGAACCGGCAGCTTACTGTGAACAAATTAGTTTAATTAATTACAAACATCAGAGCCCCAGCCAGACCAAATGCCAGAGGCTGATATTCATCCTGTCCTAAAAGGAAATGGTCTATAATCACTTCTAGTCCTGTTGATCTGAGCTAGCCATGAATTACCTAGCCGTCTCTTTCAGGAGTTGTTTGAAAAGTGACAGGCAATACAGCTCTTTTTATCCATGTTGACTATTTATCACTGTACATTGCATATGCTATAGTAGCTTGATCAGCAGGCAGCTACTTCTAGAGAAGTTGGAGCTA